AATAATACAATAAAATAAATTATAAAAAGAATTTACTTAAAGATGTCACGCTTTCATGAAATGTAAAATAAGTTATTTACTTAAATAGTAAGTTGAGTAATCTAGGGTATTATTCATTATTCATTATTTACTTAAATACTAAACAATTCATTTCAAATAAAATTATTCATTATTTATTTTTTATCCATTTGATTCTACTTTTAATTCAAAAAAATAATTTACAAACTAAGTTGGAAACTTGAGGGCTTTGGAGTAAAATAAGTCCGTTTGGACCTTGGCTTTTTCACTAGCTTATGCAGCAGCGTTTTGTATCCAAAAAAGCTTATTTAGGTTGATTCAAGAAGCTAATTTTATAAGTGTTTCTTTTGGTTGTTTAGAGTTTTGTTGTGGGTCACACATAACTTTTTAGTTTATTATATCCATAAAATACTATTAGTGACGTAAAAAAATTTAATATTCATATTTTGTGAACTATTATGTATAATCTATACATACATGTGACTATTTTTTTTTTTTTTTTGGTAATTTTGACACAAAAAGTTAGAAAGTCATTTTAAACGAATTTTTTTTCAACTATTTAAAGAATACTCTAAACGATTTTAGAAAACCTTTTCAAATCGCAGCTTTTTACCTAAAAAAGTCAGTCCAAACAGGCTTATCGGACCATTCTCCAATGCATTTAGATCACTAACTTGCAGCTCCAACTACCAGTTATTAGTGCAAAGCAAAATTTGATTCCAACCCTCACATGCCCATTTCAATCCCTTGAAGCACTCCATGGATTCAGTTTGCAGTCAGAAGAAAATAATTTAGTTCCGTCGTACTATGGAAACAGTGATCTGAAACCTGAATTATTGAATTGGATAGATTAGTAATGTGCAATGATGAAGACTAATCTAAACCATCAACTGCCCTGTAGGTGAATCTGGGCACCATATATGGAAACATTTGATTAATTGTTGTATTATTAAGTTGACTAGAATAACAATTAGTTATAATGCAAACTCATCTAAACCATCAATAGATTCAATTAACACCACATACATGAATTTAGCACCACCGTGCTATGAAAGCAGTGATTAATTGTTGCATTATTGAATCGAATAGAATAGCAATCCGTAATGATGCAGAGTCATCTAAACCATTCGTAGGACCAAGTGACTCTATCTACATGAATTTAGCCATAAGTTATGATAGAATAATAGTAAGTTATGATAGAAACTCATCTAAACCATCAGTTGGTCCCACACACAAGAATTTAGCTATGCCATCCTATGGAAGCAATGCATTGATCGTTGACTAGTAGTGATGTAGCTGGTCTTCCCAATGGCTCCACATTAAGGAATTTAGGCCTGCCGTGTTCTAGGAAGGGGACTTGTGAATTACCAAGTCAAGTGGAATAGTCATGATAATGATGGTTTCTAAATTCTAGTGGATGAGAAGGATTTGCCTGTCAACAAAAGTAGAATGATATGTAATTACCGCTATAGATTAGTAGAAAAGTTTTCTTGATTGAATCAAAGGGTTTGCAATCGTGAGTTACGTGTGATTAACAATGTTATCGGATATACATATAATTAAAATTCTATATATTTATCAAAGAAAAAGTTTCACATTCTAATCGACAATTAACAGGATCCCTTTGAATATATTGAGTACAACTTAAATTCATGATAAGTGTTTTAACATAGAGCCAATTTAATGATCTATGATTCCATTGTTTGCATGTAAACCAACAGTGTAATTGGTAATATCTTTTTTTGTTAAATGCTCGGTCGACCACGAAAAATGCCATGTGAGCCTCAAATGGAAAATATCACATGAAATCCATCTTTCATTGTACTATTCAAATTGTAACTGAAAATTTCATGCATATAATTGACAAAGCTTGTAGTTGAAAGACGCAAGTAACATTGTGTCCCGAACCAAAAATATATTTGATAATTTTCTCAAAGTCAGATTGCCAATATTGGTCGATGTCCCACTTGCAATATAGTTTGGCTCCATTTTTCACTATGCAAATATTATAATTTGGTAATATATTTTTCTTTCTTTAATTATGAAACACTAAATTTACTTCAAAATTATCGACCATCTATTCTCAAAATTGTTTGTAAAGTACATATTCTTAGGATATTGATCCAACAATAATATTAGAGGAATTATACACTTCTGAACTTGGATCCCCAACTTCTACATATCAGTGTATAGAATAGAAGTGATGCCTATGAAATCGATTTCAAGAGTTATGGAGGTAACATAAGAAACTCCAAATAGTTGATCAGGGCCATGGAGTCAATGTGTAATTTACACATAATAATGATACAAGAAATTAAGTCTGTCGTGGTGGGTGGGTGGGCAGTTGACTGACTTGTGCATTTCTAGATCAAACTGAATAGTCATGATGATTTTGAATGCTTTACTTGTAAACTATCCAAAGGCGTCAACCCCCTATTTAATATGACACCACTTGGCCATAAAAACATAAAAAAAGAAGTATATCATAGTCTTAATAACTACATAGCTACATGTCAGAAGTTAAATATGAAGGAATCAAATGATTTGCAGTATTGGGTGGTAATGTTAGGTCTTATATGGTTTTGTGGTGTTGGGTGTTTTGGTTGTTGGAGGAAGAGAGGGTTGATCTCTTGCAACTTAAAGGTTAGATAAACTACCCCAATGGAACTTCTTTGCCATCTTGGGAGGACACATTAGAAGGTAATAATAGTAAGGAGAGTGACTGTTGCTATTGTTGGTGTGGATCTCTACAATATGACAAAATTGATTATTGAGATTTTGGAATGATATTAAACTTAGAATTATTCTAAACAGAAACATTTAAATCTGTTTATGCAATTAAGAGCAAAACAGTAACATTCAAGAAAAATTAGTAACATTTAAAACTGCAATAAATAACTTCTCAATTTACATATCAGGAACGGAAAATTGAATTTTATAAATCAAAGCTAGTATTTGATACTATATCTTTAAGACAAATTTCGTGTCATACTATTGTTTAAGAAAATCATAACGTCTGTCTATCAAAATACAATAATCTTAATGCAATTGAAAGTAACATTTCAATTCAATTGTCCAATTGATAAGAATTGTGTTGTGTACTTTAAAAAAAATAAAGACTCCTAATGCAAAGATTTATGAATGTAATGATTGCCTTAATTTATAATATTGTAAAGAAGTTAGTGCAAAATGCTAATGAATTTTAGTTATTTATAGACAAAATAATGACTATTTTGGACAGCCACCATAGCCGATTCAACCCACAAAACACCGTTAATGTATGCCTAATAAGAATAGACCCGAAATTCAAATTTAAAAGTAGAGGGAAGTTAAAAGTCAAACTAGTGCAAATTTGAATTCTAAGAGACAAAATTTGGATTAATAATTTTGGACACAATTCATAAAGGAATTTTTTCCAAAAAAATAAGGTTGGTTCTAATTTTTTTATTGTAAAATAACATACTAAAGTTGTAAAAACACTCATTGAAGTAATACATTAATTGTAGAGGTATGATATCGAATTTTTTTTTAACTACCGTAGTCAAGTCCTTATTTTAAGGTTGGTTCTAAACCAAAAAGATAAGGTTGGTTCTAATTTTTTTGAGTACTGCTACAAAACTCAAATGAAATTCAAAAAATTACAACCCAAATAAATATCATCTATTAAATAAGTGGATCTCATCAATTTTTTTAGTGAGACTCCCTTATCTCACACTCATCCAAGGGATAATATTCATTTGACTTTTAATTCTTAGATTTCACTTAGATTATGATACCGAATTTTTTTAACTACTGTAGTCAAGTCCTTATTTTGGATTCAAAGTATTACCACAAACTGTGGAATTTGTAGAGTAGATTTAACTTTTCTTTCTAATTTGTTTCTTTCTATGAGTCATGCGTGGGGTACGTTTGATCATTAATGTCAACATTATAATCTGGTAATCTTTTTTTCTTTTTCTTTTCTTTGTTGACCATTTAAAAATGCTGTAGGGTCAGTCGACCCCATCTACAAGAATTTAGCTCTGCCGTATTAGGTAGGTTGTTGACTGACTTGTGCATGACCCCACCAACAAGCAACACATGAATTTTGCTTTGGTAACAATTGATAGTAAAAATAATACAATAAAATAAATTATAAAAAGAATTTACTTAAAGATGTCACGCTTTCATGAAATGTAAAAAAGAAGGTATGACACCAAAAGTATGAATAAATTTCTTTATTAAGTTTATTCTTAAATAATTTCTTTGTAAGGAGTAAGCAACATAATTTATTTGGGATTCATTCACCTAAAGGTCCTATCTATTTGGGATCCAAAACTAAGAATTTATTGTGGATCCGAGTCTCATTTATGATATATTCGAATATATTGAGTCTCATTTAAATTCATGAGAAATATTTAATTTTGAGTATATTTAATATTAAAAATTTGAATTCCATTTTCGGCTATATAAATTGACGAGTATTATAATTGGTGATACCACTAACAAACCATTCAAAAAGATATCAAAAAATTTGGGGATGTAATTGACGTCTACTTTTGTTGTGGGAGAAAACTAGAATTGCCAGTGGAGCCAAAAATATATTTAATTAGTTTTTTCAACTTTAGATCACTAATGTTGATGAATGAGCCATTTGAATAAAATCTACTAATAAGGTCTCAGGTCTCATTTTTATTGTTGGAAAGTGTTTAAAATTTAGTCAATTTAACAAAACTAAACCTCACTCCCATTTTCACTATGCAAACATTATAATTTGGTTATATCTTTTTCTTGTTCTTTTTTTCTTTCATGTTTCACTGTGCATACTGGCCTCGAATTTAGCTTTTCCGTGTTATGGGGGTTGTGGACTGACTTGTGCACGACTGGTCTTGAGTCAAGATTTTGAGAGCTTGGCCTGCTACTTCTCCAAAGGCATCACCCCTCTATTTAATCTGATAGCACTTTGCCAAGAAACACAAGCAAAAACATATCAGCAAATAAATATGAAGGAATCAAAGGGTTTGGAGTGGTGGGTGGTAATGTTAGCTTTGATATGGCTTTGTGGTGTTGGGTGTTTTGGTTTTTGGGAGGAAGAGAGGGTTGCTCTCTTGCAACTCAAAGCTTCCATAAACTACCCAAATGGACCTTCTTTGCCATCTTGGGAGGATAGAGTGGAAGTTTATAACAGTATGGTGAGCGACTGTTGTTATTGGGAAGGAGTTGAATGCAACGAGACCACATCTCATGTAATTAAGCTTTTCCTTAACTCTACAAGGGATGGGTCTTTAGGAGATTGGTATTTCAATGCCTCTTTGTTTCTTCCCTTTAAAGAGCTCCGAAATCTTGACTTATCTAATAACCAGCTTGTTGGTTGGGTCGCAAATGAAGGTCTAGATTTTCCTGCTTAGCAAAATAATAAGCATGTGGTGTTCTTAATATGTTAATTAGGGAATTTTTTTATTTTATCCAAAAGTAAAATTCTTAACAGGTTTCGAAAGATTATTTGTGTTGAGCAAGCTGGAGGTTCTTCAGTTGGATTCCAATTATTTCAATAACAGCATCCTATCATCTCTAGGATTGGTTTCGTCACTTCAGAGACTATACATAGGAGTGAACTATTCAATGGATCTATTCACCTGCAAGGTGAAAGAGATTTTAACAACATTTATTTATGTACGAGAATTGCAATAAATGGCCTT